AAGAAGCAAAAGGAATTATACATTATTTTAACGAATCAGGGGGTGGGTACGGGACCACAGAAAATAAAAAAAAAAAGAAAAGCGAAATACGAACATTCCCTATGGAATTATGAGAAAACGGTTCTTCATCTGCCACATACCAATAATTATTTTGCAGGATGACACTAACCTAGCCAAACAATTTAGGTCCAAACATCCTTCAATTTGAACATTTATGAAAGGAATCCTCAGAGAACAATCTTTCCAAGAACTCAAAATTAATCAAAATATCAGTGGACATATTTTTAAAAAACCTAAATTTTACAACAAAAGTAAATGGCTAGAAATTGTTACAAGTTTTCATATTGATGGAAGCAAAGATTACTTTATTAATAATTTGAAAAATGTTGCCAATTTGTAAATTGTTGACTTATTTTAATTAATAAAACTTATAAAAATATGTGGTAAATTCATATTTAAAGCCAAACAAAAATGAGCAAATAATGCTTCCATTTTCCATATATTTTTTCAATTCGTAATTGAAGACTTTTAATCATTAGTACTTTCGATCATGTGTTATTTTGATCATTTGTATTTTCGATCTTATGTAATTTCGATCAATTGTTTTATTTTGGCTCATTTTCAATTTCGATCTTTTGTCACTTTTGACCTTTTGACTTTCGATCTTTTTTCCGCTCACTGTTAGAGATGTTAGACTTATGTCCATTTTTAAAGATGGGAGTTATATAGCTTGTTTTTCATGTACTAGAACAAAAAATGCCAGTACTCAGGGACTCGTTGAATATATGAAGTAATGGCCTAGCGAGATTAAAACTACTTAAAAAAAATAGATGGAAGAGAGTTGGGACCAGGTCTCTTATTTATATTGAGGTTGCTTTATTTCAAATAAATATCTGATATTAAAATTCTGTGACTTAAAGAGGTTGATATTACCAGTATCATAGAGAGAAGAATTGGGAATTTCAAAAGTGCTATCAGAATATGCTGATGCAAAATACTCAGCAAACATGTTTACTATATCATTACCTGAATTACCAACTATACCATTGAATTGAGCTTGGTATACCATTTTACTTTCTTAAGTTTACAAAAGTCCAGAACTTTTTAACATTTGTAAGCCAGGTGTTCACATAAAACAAAATGTGTTGTTCATAACATTCACGATTTATGATTAAGTAGTTCTAAGAAATCCTTTCTTTTATTAAATTGTAATATTTAACACTTAATACTGTTAATAATATTGATGACAATTTACTGTTTTTTGTAAATTGGCAAATCATGGGTTTGCTGTTGTGAATTCAAATAAAAAAATTGAATTGTCAGAAATGTACTTATATCTTTTTTAAATGATAAATCAGTGCCAAACTAGTTTTGGCATTAATAATTTTAAAATTAAAAAAAAAATCACGTCGTATACGATGAGTTATCCCTGTATAATAATTCAGTTTATGTAAATGTATACAGCTAAATCAATTAAGTATATTCCATGTCAATAATTTCACGTAGGATAATGGAAATTTACTCTAATAATAATTATCAAATATTTATAAATAAAACACAACATATTATGTACATTTAAGTTATTTAGTGAATACCTCTACATTTGAAGGGGCAATCTATGATAAACCTTATCATTTGAATATTTCTATGATTTTTTCAGTGACTTGCTAAGGTTACAGCAATACTTGCTGATTAACCTAACCCATGTTCAATAACATCCAGTCAGAAGATAAAAACATAAGTCATACATTTTTAATATTTAGTCAGATGGAACAAATATCAACAATAAATACTAGTTTATTTTTTTATTCCATATATTTGACTAGTTTTTTTAAAGTATTAAACACATACATATAATATTTACCTACTTTAATAAATGAGGAAAATACCTAGAACTTTGATCGATTAAAATTATACTCATCATAACTAGAAAAATAAAGAAGATGCAGACATAAAAGGATAAGTAAAATTAAAAATTGCATAAATGTTTTTTAACGGCAATACATTTTTATGGTTGAGTTGTTTAACATAAGTTTCACTGTGTGGAAACTTTCATTATACCAGAAATCCTTTGTGACTAGTGATTACTTATTTATTGCAACAGTTTAGATTTGAGTGGTTAATGAACAATTTTATATTTTGTAGCTAGTTCAGAATTAAAATTTAAATGGTGAGGTTTATATAGAGTAAAAGTGAAAAGTTGTGTCAAATTGAAGTAAATTTGATAACTGCACAATCTGATGTGAATCAGATTCTGTGTTTTTTTTTTTACAAAATAAAGGTAGTACAATGATGCATTTTTTACCTTTAAGTAACGTATTATCTAGATTGTACTTATTATAATTGAACATCAAAATTAAAAATTTCTGTAAAAACTTTCACTTGAGATAGAGACCAAAAGATTCTGGTCGATAGCCCTTTAGGAATACCCAATAAATATATTTTTTTTATTATTATTATTTATAATCAACATTTAGTGACTAGTGTTCTGAAATGTTGCTCAGTTATTTGGCGTCCTAGCTGTACCGGTCATAGGAATGGAATAAAAGGATACAGAGATATCTTGATGAATGATTCTTCTTTTACCTTTTAAATTTATAAATAGAGTGATTAGTTCTAGTATTGTCTTAAGAAATATTTATTTTCTAACTTCTACGTAATGAACATGGCTCACTTCTATTTCTTGTTTAAAAAGCCATAGCACTAACACGAACAGAGAATAGAACTTTTATTAATTGACGATGTCCAAATTATAATAAAACATAAGCAGATAATATCGACATTTTTAGCATTAGTATTTTGTGCTCAAAAGAACTTTAAGATATAGATGTGCCTAAATGTTCTACTGTTAAAATAAATTTGGCCTTTATCTAGCTGGTCCTGTTATTTTATTGTAATTCTAGTTAATCCATACAATTTAGAAATACTTATTGTATGTGTCAATAAATGAATTCAATGAAAACTTTTAGAAACATTTTTAGATATTTTGTTAGGCTATTTTTGGCGTTTTTTAATGTCTATTTTTAAATTATTTTATTTTTTTAAATAAGTACTTCAAAAAAGGTTTAGAAAAATTTCAAACTAATTGAAACTTCAAAAGATGCTTTCTCATATCTCTTTTAATTTTGTGTGAACACTTCCTAAAATTCCATCAAATGAAATTAATCATAAGTTTTATAATATTTCAAAGCAGTCTTTTTTCAAACAAGGATGATGGCGACAACAGTAGAATTGATCATAATTTACATTTGTGATTAGGCTGTATGTTATTTTTAGCAATAGTTAAATTAATAATTAACTTAAAAAAGGTTACTATTTTACTGTAAATATGCATCATATTGTTTAAGCATCAATTTACACATAACACATTTTTATTTATTACTATTTAAATATTTAAAGTTTTTTATCCATTGCAATGCGAATATTACAAAATATTTAGTTGAATAACCATCATCATTAATTTGACAATGAGTAGATACTTTAATTACAAAAATATATATGAGCCGTTTATTTTAAAAGTGACCAAAGTCCATTTATATTTAAATTAATATATTCATTATCGATAATGTCGATAAAGGTAATTTTAATTAATTAGTATTTAACAAGTCAACCTCAGTTTTGGACAATTACATTAGTTGAATAATCAGTACGTTTAATTAATGCAGTTAAACAAAATTTATACAAACCCTTATATATCTCAATTTAAGTATAAATGGACCCTTAGGCCACTTTCAAAATAAAGGGCTCATATCATAAATCAAGTTCCTCTTAGCTTGGCAACCAACCTGTTGTTAAATTGTAAAAAATCTCTCTCTGATCTGTGTTTAGGCACATCACACCAAGCAGGATGTTGTGGTTCCAGGCTCATTACTTTACTAGTACTAAGGCTTTAGGCTAACTGCACTTCTCTCAGTTTTATTACCTCAATAGAGTAATACTCTTAATCTATTTAAGGATATTCCTGATGGAAGCTTTGGAAATTTCTTTTGGTTCCAAGTTTTGTACCCTAAAGAAGTTGATATTATTTTTTAGTATATCCAACATACCTTTAGTCCAAGTCATTCAGCTCAATACCAGATTTACTTATAAAAATTACTGCAAATAAATGGAATATTAGCAATATTTAAATAAAAAATATTATATTTTTTAATGTTATTATATCTATAAAAATGTTTACAATTATTTTGACAAATCAGTTTAAACCCCAAACAATAAAAAAGTACCTGTGTTCTATTACTCTCTTTGTATGACAGAATCACCTCTTGTGGACTGTGCTCAGCTCAAGGGAAATTTCTTGTGGGCATTTCCATATCCTAAAAAATGGATATACAAAATTAGATATTTGGCTAGGCCAGTGACTTGATGCCCTAAGCAATCCACACCTGTGGGCCTTCCTATCGATACGTAAACTAGTATCGTTCTTAAAAAAAAACTACGCAGCATCATCGTTCTTTTTTTCATTTTTTATTGTGAGTGAATTTGTGCGAGGCAAATCACAGGAACTTATTTTTTTAATGATATTTGAATGAAACTGTTGAATTTCGGTTCCTCAATTATCGGTATTAAGGTATCGTGGATATGTGTTTACTAAATTTCTACAATGATGACTATGTTCTGAAGTTTGTTTGGGGGCACATAATTTTATTTTTTGGTGGTTTCGGGGGCCCTTCAAGACGTGATGCCCTAAGCAATTTGGTTGTGGGCTAATCCGGCACTGGGGTAGGCCTTTGAGTTATTCTAGGAGATAATATTCTGTTGTTTTTTACTAAAATTATTGTTTAGACAATACTGATAGTGGGACAATCAGAAGTCCAAAATTCAACTTCAATCTTTCTGATCCGAAATATTATGTACTCAATAGTGCCTTTGTATTCCTGTTGTCCATAACAGCTTAAAATCATTACTAGTTCCATCTGATCTAAGGTATTAAAAGTGAGAGGCCATCTTTAATCGCGATGCATCTTCTCTAATTTGATACACTCATTGATTTTTTATTTCAGGCGCGCATAGCATTCCTGCAAGGAGAGAGAAAGGGCCAAGAGAATCTGAAGAATGATTTGGTGCGGCGTATTAAGATGTTGGAATATGCCCTAAAGCAGGAACGGGCTAAATTCCACAAGCTAAAATATGGAACAGAATTGCAACAAGGTAAAACTCTAAAAATTGAACACTTTAGTTTTGAATTTTCTATTTTTTTATTTAATTTTAGGCGATATGAAACCACCTGTGATAGATGAGTCTAGTGAATCTCAAATAGACAGTGACCAATCGTATGTGTCTGTCTCAAACTCTACTTGGAAACAGGGGAGACAACTATTGAGACAGTATTTGCAAGAAATTGGTTATACTGATAGAATAATTGATGTGAGATCAACCCGAGTTAGGGCTCTCCTTGGCCTAAACAACAACAACGCTGATCAAGAAGATAACCAAAATGGTAGTGGAGTCAATTCTAATGAGTCCAATAAAAGAGCTAGTGAAACTCAAGGTAGGTAATATTTTTTAGAAAGATTTGACAAATATTTTAATAATTTTATTCCAGGGAGAAGAACTCCTGCTAAAAAGGCACAACCAAGCTCTCTAGCTGAAGCAATGATGTTGGATACAGAGGCGGCTGTGATGGCAAATTTGGACTTTTTGTCCAATACTGATGTTGATATGGATGATGATGATGATATGAGTGATGATGTCGATAATGAACCTACAGATGATATTGAAGATGATGTTAAGCTTGGGAAGAAAGGTATGACTTCCAATATGAGTCAAATTTGAACACAAATGTATCAAATTTAGTAGTAATCTGGTTGTTCAGTTATTAAAGGTTAGAAATAAAATTGACTATTTTTATTGCTATTGATCAGTTATATGGTATTTTTAATTATTTCTTTTGTAAACATTTTTACTAAATATAAAAAAAATGTTATTTAAAGAAGCAAGCATATCTTTTCTTTTTCAGTCAAGATTACTATTAAAACAATTCATCAACAATCTCACTTTTTAATTTTAACACATCTAGAACGTGACTAACTTCTAATTTTATTCTGCTTGTTGATAGTTAAATGAAATATGATTTTTATAGATAAAATGGATAATGATTTAGGTTTAGGAGATGACGTGGATGCAATAGCCTTAGAAGTGTTCAACGAACTCAATAGACTCTCAGAAGCCGAGAAGAAGCAAGATAGTAAAACTGAACAAGGTGATTGGAATAAAGGTATTTATATTTTAAATGTGCAAAGGATCAATTTATAGTGTGAGGTAAATAGTGAATTCCTAAACTTATTACAGTTTTACAAGTTCTGTCAAACGAGAACTGAGGATGAATTTTTTTCATTTAATTTCTTTGTTTTTATTTTTGATACTCTTTTGCCTTTAGTTTGTTTTGATTCATTGAATGAAGGTGTTATATTACAAATTTAGACATTTAAGTATACAGATGAAAGAAATAAGGAGTAAATTCCAGAATGAGAGGGGTGACATGAACATAAAGAAAGGTTGTTTAAAAAAAAATGCCCCGAACCTGCCACCTTCGGATTTTCGGCCCAACGTCATAACCATTAGACCCCAGAAGTGTTATATATCAGACACCTTAGATAAAAGAGACAAGAGATATAAAATACACCGGTGTTTAACCTGCGCAAATGTTGCCAATTTCTAAAGAAAGGTTAACGGAGTGGGGGAACTGGGCAGAGACCCAAACTCTGTGACAGGGACCGGACTTTGTTTATTAGCATCATAATGAACTATTAGATTTATTTAAATTATATGTTTAATGGAATGTTGTATTATGAAATAAAATTAACGTTATTGTTTAAGAGGGTTCTGAAATACATTTCTGTGCATTTGTGGTTGCATAGTCTACCAATTATCGTATAAGAACATCTAGACGTACCATTTTCGGCCGTTGATGACTAACAAAATTAGATTTCTATATATAATCGGTTTTTATTTAATAAGTTTAACAGGGTTTCTAGTTTTTTGAGCTTATTTTAATTATAATTACTTTTTATGAACACTTTATTCTATAGCCTTCACACATTCATAAATAGAAAAGCGTATAAATATATGTAGGTAAATATATTATTTGTTTTAGTTTTTATTTTGGAAATTTAAGAGATACTGTATTGAACAGTCTTCGTCCAATGCGGCCTCTAAACGCTCAATATATATAATCGTACCATTTTAAGACTTGTACAACACAAAACGTGACGTAATCTAACCAATCTTTTGCTGTTTTTTTATTTGTACTCGACCCATAATAAAAACCACTTCTTTGTCGATTTATTAAAGTCACAGTGATTATTCTCACACAATTAGAGGTTTGTTCCAACATAAACCAAATCAGTTTGCGTACTGTCGGGATTCTACGCAGTCTAGAATTCGTGTTCCAACAAACCTTAGACTCAAAAATGTACAAAAACATAGTGTTCCAACACAACCAAAACAAACCGATTTGTGTACTGTCAAATCAGTTCCTAGGTCTGAATAGGAACGAATTGTCAAGACATGCGCAAAGCCGCAATAAACTGAACATTTCGTGATTGTAATTATATTATTTGTATCTATTGTCTCTGACAGTTCTGATTTGTATTTGTTAATCGAGTTTAGTCTTTATAGTTTTTGTTCATTATCATTTATTTTATTTTGTGGTTTATTATTGTAATAGTGTTTCTGTTGAAGTTAAAAAGTATGTTCCAACATAATCGAGTTCCCAGTTGAGTCCCAATCCCCGACCAGTACCTGACAAGTGATCAATTACTAGTCGTCGACAGATTGTCAACAATAAGTCTTGGACTGGTTTATGTATTGTTCCAAGATGGTTGTTGGAACAAACCTTAGATATTCCAAAGACCTGTCATACAATAGTTGTCAGTTGGAAGGGCTCATAAATCTAAGGGGATTGCGACATAGCCTTTAATCTTGGACGCTATTTCTATTTGAAATAGTAATCGCCAAGGCTGCCAATTTATAGAAAATGCATAAACGGTTTCTATAAAAATAATATTTTCATTGTGCTTGACATAAAATATTTAAATTTAATTCATTAATTTTGATTTCACGTATTGTAAATAGACTACATCGTATGTCGCAACCCTTTAGAGATTCCAAACCTTAGAACCGCGCTTCATTTGTTTGGAATGCCTAATTTACTAATAAACATGTATTTGTTATTTGATTCGCATTCGCAATGACATTGACAACCACAGACAGATCACTTATTTTGATGACAACCACTGATCTGTATTATTTTACTGGATAGGATATAGCCCCCTAAAAAACGTTCCGAAAAATTGGCCGATTTGGGCAAATAATATGGCGGACCGGATGTTATTTAACGTAACCTCTATTTCCATTTGTCATCACATTTGTCATTTAATTGTGTCAACAAGCTACGATGAGATGTTTTTATTGTGGAAACCAAAGTAAAAAGAGTATGAAATAAACAATAAACGTTAATTCCTGAAGACACAATATGCTCACGTCTCCATTTTTATATTTTCTTTCATAAAAAATCAAATCATGGGTGAAGTTTCCCGAAGAACATCGCCCGCAAAAGAAATAAAAGAAGAATAAGAAGAAAAACTAATCAAATTATAGGTTAGGTATGTCAAATTATCCCAAATTTCAGTTCTGTGAACCCACCATAATTTGCCCAAATCGGCCAGCATTGTTGCACTTCCGGTCTCCTTGGTGGAAAGATTTTTTAGTATGTTAAATATAGCCTATATCCTATCCAGTAAAATAATACAGATCAGTGATGACAACACATAAAATTACAACGTTGCCAAGGGTGGCATTCTTTCCTTTTATTTGCACATTACAGAATAGAAAATTATTTGTTTATAAATGGGGTTTTAAACTTGGGTTTCATAATGAGCTCAAAGCCTTTTATAAAACGCCATTAGCGCCCTTGATTTTTGCTATAGGAATGTCTTTTTCTCCACTATTTAAGCAAAATCGGTACCTATTAATTTTTTCCGACTGTAAGATTTTCGGAGCTGAACTTAGGATAATTTTTTTTAGAAAGTGTGTTATGTTATAATTTCAGACCAAAATCTGCAAGCTCGTTTCATAATTTCGCGCTCGGATTTTGTATTTATTCTGTAACACTACCTATTTTATAGCAATTTTATGCCCACCCTATTTATTTTTCTGTGAATTTTGTTTTGTTTCGTAATAGAAACAACTTTCATTAGGAATAAATTTTTTGTAGAAATGTATTTTAAAAACGGACTATTTCCAACGCTACTATGAGCTTTGTCTGTGGATTCACAAACTATCTGTAGAGACGGCAACACCGAACCTAAAAGCTCGAACTGAATTCAAAATTCGCCAAATATACACAATATTTATTGTTTTCCCACGATACACATACTAGTTACTAACGGTATACTGACTTTCGATTCAAATTTTGTCCAAACCGCGCAGTGACGTAATTCGGGACGAACTTTCAAGTTATTTTGACACTTTTTGATTGAATAGTGTAAAATAATTTAATAATTTATTTGTTTTTGTGTTAGTAGTGACTATATTTTCTTATATATAATAGGGAAGAACTGAATTAATATTTAAATGGCCGGGCTGCGCGGTGGAGACTTGCAAAATCCATAATGCGAAATTCAAAAATAGTGTAATGTAAGATATTTTCGAATGCCACAAAATGTGGATAAATTCTTATCATAGAAAGGAAAAACTTAATTTAAACAATAATGGTTAGTAAAATGCACAAGTGTAATAGGTTTAGAGACAGTGAAAAGTTGCTAAAATATTATTTTAGCATGCAGTTGCCCTATCTACTTTGAGGAAAGTAGTAAACATAAACGCAAGAGAAGAAAACTGAATTCCACCAGGTGCATGGGGCTTTATTAAGCAAAGAAAATAGGTATTTTAAAATTTTAGCAGATAAAGCAGTAGTTTCCTGTCCCAATACAACGGTCCCTTTTCAAGAAATACTATGCAAGAGCAGGACAGGAACATATATAAGAATAAGATACATGAATAGAAAAATTGGTTTTGAATATTTTCAAAGTAAACTTGGCAAAAAAATGTTTAAATTTACCAAATAAAAAATTATTTTTTGTGTACTTACTTTTCATAAAAAAATAATTTGTTTCTGCATACTAAGAAAATAAATTTAAAAGGAACTACCACTCCCAGAAAGTACAAATTTCAGTCAAACTTATATTTTTAGTCCATGTTTTTTATTTATCTTATCCAGGTTATGGATTTTGTCACAAAATACGTAGAATTTATGAAAAAAATTAATATTTTTATTAGTATTATTTACCTTAAACCTTCATATTTGTAAACGAATATATTACAAAATAACCAATAAAGCTTAAGTAACTGCATAAAATCTAAAACCGGCGATATATCCAATTTCAAACACTATTTCCCATTTAATACTAACAATTCTGTTCCACATGACGTCACCGTCAGTCAGCTGCATGCGCAGGAACACACCGTTATTCTGTGTATCGTGTTGTTTGCAATTTTATACATCGATCGGAAAGTAACTCTGTAATATTTATTGGTTTAGGCAACTGAACATACTTTTCGCGACTGGTGCGCCATCTGGCATAGAAAATATTGATTATCATGGTATCCAAACGTAAAAGAGGACCGTTGGGGGCAGCACCTCCCGGTGCCCTCTGAAATTTTTATGCAATGTTCAATTTTAGAAAAAACTACTTACTTTTTTCAAAAATGGTAAATACACAAGTTTTTCAGTGGCAAATGAAGAATGGCGGATGATAACATTTATACGTATATGACTTGTTTTATATTTTTTTCATTTTATTTTTTTTATGTTTATAAAAAAAAGTTATCATGCGCCAATCTACGATGCATAAAAAGCACGGATACAAAAAAGATATTTTTTTTGGTGAGTATTAAACCCGCAATTTGAACATTAACATTTCCAATATGGCGGACGGGTATAGAACCCTCTTAATATCAAACAGATACCACGACATTTTATGTAAAGAAAAGACCTTATATAGAATATTTCGTTAGTGTTTATTTACTACTCACTTTTCTGCAAGAGACTACAGTAAAATGTTGAAATAGAATATTGTTAATAGAGCAAGAAATGATACTCATTGTCTACGAGTATTATAAAAAAAGCATGTGCGCAGGCGAATACTGCAAATCAAACCTTGTGAGTTGAACATTATATTTTTTCTACAGCTATTACATAATATTAAAAATTAG